TGAGGCTGGCGAACCGAACGGACTAGTTGCCATGCTGATTTGGTGGTAAAGTCACCATCCGAAGTAATTTTCCAAACAATTCGTTCTGTGGCATCTGCACATAAGGGTATCGCCCCTACCTATTCTGCCATGTGAGAAGGAAGGGCCTGTAATAACCGTCCAAAATCCCACCCAGTATCGTCAAAAAAATCCTGTACCCTCGCAGATGTGTGCTGTCTGTGGGAGAATAGGGATGCCAACGTGGACTCGCCCATCCAACAATCATGCCAGAAGAAAATCTGACCGGTTCCAAGGTGCCAAGCAATGTGTGGATCCGTCCGTAGGCCAACTGATTTCAGCCTCTTCCAGGTAGGGGAAGCTGAACTGGGAACTGCTGCAAGTAAAGGATGCGTCCCCTTACAATACTTGCCCAGTAAAAACTGAGCCCAAAGTGACCTCTGAGATCGGAACAGCTACCAGAGCTTCATGGAGAAGGTGTCCACCACATCCTATAATCTCCTAAAGTCGAGGCCTCCCTCATCAGTAGGAAGGCAAATCGCCTTCCAACTCCTCCAATGTAGACGTCATGCTTGATCCTTAGAATCCCATAGAAATCGGGCAAAGATGCTCTCAAGTTTCTTCAGCACTACCTTGGGCGGCTGCATAATCTGAAGAAGATGTAAAGGTATGGAAGAAAGTACTGACCTCAGTAATGTAATACGACCCCCAGGCAATAGTAATCGTGAGGCCCAACCTGATATCCTATTCCTTATCTTCTGGATAAGGTCATCATAAAGGAAGCTCCTCTTAGTCCCCTTGAATAAGGGGACACCCAAGTAAGTGAAAGGCTGCTGCTGATGTCTGAAGCCAGTCAAAATCTCTAGTCGTCTAATCTAACTAGTGGATGCCCGTCTGGATAGTATAATACCGCTCTTGTCTCTATTCACCAATTGGCCAGAAACTCCTTCATAGTGCTCCAAGTAGTCTAAGATCCTCCTGATAGACTGTTTCTGACCGTTGGCAAAGATGATCATATCGTCAGCAAATGAGAGATGTGAGACAAGAGCACTTCCTCCATGTCGATAACACATACTGGGATACTGCTAAAACCTCTAAGTGAGCAAGCGTGAGAAGTAGTCTGCTGCAATGATGAACAAGGATGGGGAGATAGGATCACCCTGTCTGAGTCCTTGTGAGGAGGGAAAGAAACTACCTGGGCGGCCATTTAGGAGTACGGAGAAATGACACTCCGAAACGCACCGCCTGATTCTATCAATCCAGATCTGATCAAATCCAAATGCCTCCAATACAGAAAAAATGAAGCCCCAGTCCATGCGATCATATGCTTTAGCCATGTCTAACTTCAGCATAGTATTTCCCCCTCGCACTCTATCATCCAAAGTGTAGAGAAGCTCCTGAGCCAATAAAACATTATCTC